TGGAAGCTCCCAGCCTCTCCTTTTTTCCTTTTCCTTTTCTTTATTCCGGGATTTATTTACCTTCTATAATTGAAACTTTGTAGCCTTGAGAGGAGCTCAGAGCCAGCTAAGGCAGGCGGGAGGGAAGCTTGGCTTCCTCCACCACCAGGGGCAACCCAAGCCTCCTGCTTGCTCCAGCTTCATGGCCACAGCCTACTGAAAGCAGATATCGTGGGTGTATTTACCTTCAATGATTGAAACTTTGTTGCTTTGAGTGGAACTTAGAGCCGGCTACGGCAGGCGGGAAGCTTGGCTTCCTCCATCACTGGGGCAACCAAGCCTCCTGCTTGCTCCAGCTCCATGGCTGCCGGCTGCCATCTTGGTTGGGTTAATTTGCATATAGTTGCTCTGATTGGCTGGTGGGCGTAGCTTCGCTATAAGGCATAGTGAAGGTACAGTCAATTTGCATGTTTGTCTTTTATTAGTGTAGATTATTGTTTTAAAGCAGGGGTGGGGAACATCCAGCCGGTGGGCCAAAATCATTGGGTCTGGCCCTGCCAAGGCATTAGGGATGAGTTCCTGGGGGGGGGGGAGCATCCAGCCTATAGGTCATATGAGGCCTGAGAAATCATTTGGTCTGGCCCTGCCAAGGCAGTAGGGGTGAGTTAATTAAATGTTTCACCAAATATGGCAGGCTAATTTTTAAGTTGATCATTTTGTATGGCCTGTGAATGATGTTATAAATATCCAAATGGCCCTTGGCAGAAAAAAGTTTCCCTACCTCTGGTTTAAATAAATAGAAATCAAAGTGATTTAAAACTAGAAGGAAGCAGGGGGAGTTGATTTTAGCTGATTTGAACAGGAAAGTCTTTGGGTGAACAGTCAGAGCTAGCAGCTGAGAGGTGTGCAGAATCTGGCTGGATGGAAATGGTGTGACACCTAGGTGGAGGGAAAAGCCCGGGCACAGCAAACATCAGGACAGCTGTAGTCCGTCCGAGCCAGCGCAGTGGCTCCGTGTGTCTAAGGAAAGGGCTGTGACAGGGAGTTGTGTGGGAGGAAGATGAGCAGCATGTCAGAGCCGGAAGCTTTTCTCCAGGCTAGGGTGCTCTGTGTAGGAATGTGCTCAGTGTCATCAAGAGAGTTTTTTCAAATGGACTTTTTCAAGGTAAGGGGAAACAATTGAATTTTTTTTTTATCAAAGAAGCACTATGATCCATGTTGTACTTCAGAAATTAGCTAGGAGAGGTACATTGCATAGGAGAGAGACTGGTGACAAGGACAGTGAAAGTTAGAACATGTGTCCAGTGCGGGAGAGAGAGGGGGCCTGAAACAGGATGGTGCTCATGAAACCAGAGAGCAGGGGATGCTATAAGTGAGATCAAATAGATAAAACTGGTAGACTGTTAGGGTCCAGAGAGAAGTACAAACTGATTAGTAGTATTTCAAGCCTCGATGATGGGGAGGGTGAGTGCCATTAT